GAGGAGGTTGAAAAGAAAAGGGGGGAGGTTTTGCAACGTCCTAGAGATGATTTGCAGCAAACGCGCTCAATAATTCTGGAATTCCTTGGCATCGTTCAATCACAAAAAAAAAATAGCAATTAAAAAAACAACCCAGAAGTAACGAGGGTGAACTTCAGCAATGGGATTAATCCTCTCAGACAAGAGGAGGGGGAGCTGTGTTTCCACGGGGTATTAAAGCCAGATGAATGTTAACTCTTAGCTTGTGAAAAGCTGGCAGCGCCCCGCGCTCCTCCGGCAACGAAAGTGACCGCCGGAGAGGGGAAGGGTGCTGGATATTTTTGCCTCTTTTGCTGTTTTAGATTTGATCAAGGAATAAAATAGGAAGAGGCACAGAGCTGGAGGGAGGTGGGGGAGAGGGGAGAGGCCAGTGTCTGCCCGCCCCCATCACGCGTATTCCTCCCATCAACCAAATGTAAACGAGCACGGGGAAAATTAATGTGTGCCTTGGTGGTCTGGAGTCATGGCAGCCAAAGGGAGATTTGGGAGCCAAGGCATAGGCTCCAGCAATGCTGGCAGGGAGCTGCACACACACACATGTGTGCAGGCAGACCCCAGAGAGGAGAAGGGGCCCAGGAGCCTGGGGGAAGAGCAGACCCACAGCCCCGGCAGAGCCTGCCGGGAGCAGCGCGCTCTCGGAGGTGGAAAATGAGGTTCCCGTGCCAGGAGAGCCCTGGGACGACCTTGTGCTGGGGGTCCCTCCACTGCAGCCCCCCCAGAGGGCAGCTCAGTCCACTGTTGTCACAGCTGAGAGTGCTGCAGCTCCACAGGGGGGGGATCAGGACCCCCAGCAATTCTCCTGCCTTCCCCTCCCAGCCCGGGCGCGGGGCACGAGGGGTGAAGCTGTGGGGAAAGGATGGAGAGGAAAGGGATGGGGAGGGGGGGGCTGGGGGTGCTGCCAGAGAATTACAGTGAAACTGGCAAGGGAGAGGGGAAAAACATCAGGTGGGCATGGGGACAAGCTATTTTCCAATACGCAAGCGTGTGAGCTTCCTGCCAGAATACTCCCTAAATTCCTTCTCCCCCACAGCAAACAAGGCTGTTCTATTTGCCAGAGGGTTTTGGCCACGGGTGGTCCCAGCTCCCCCACTCCCCACTCTTAGGGGAGCACACTGCCACCAAGGGGTCAGCCAGAGCTGGGGAGGGGTGGTCAGGAGCCCCTCTACACATAGGACGACCCCCCCTTCACACATCCCATTGCACTCAGCCCCAGCACAGCAAAACAGAGGGTGCTGCTGCAGGCTGGGGCACCCAGCTTCATCCTGGGGGCTCCAAATGAGCCACCCCCAAGACGTGGGGGCCACGGATGCCTCCCCCCACACACACCAGGAGAGGGTCAGCAGCTGGGGGGATGCCACGCTCACCCCTTGGGCTGCCAGGGCTGTGCCCCACGTCCAACATGCAGTTTGCAGCCCCAGCCCAGCTCCCACTGCAGCTGGGACAAACCACATCCCCTCTCTGCTGGCTCTCCTGCTCCTCTGGCAGCACTCGGCGTGCCAGCCCACGTCCCTGTCCTTAAAAGACACTCTGGGGCCAGTGAGGGGCTGCAGCCCCACAGGCAGAGCACTGCCCCTGTTGTGTCGGGGTAACTGGGCTTTTTTTGGTTGGTTGGTTGGGGTTTTTTTTCCCCTTTTTTTGTTTAGAAGGGAGAGTGACCACAGGCTGTTGCTCCTGCCCCTTTGTGCCCCGCTCTGAGGTGCCCCAGGGTGAGGCAAGGGGAGGGAAAGCAGCTGAGCCCCAGGGCTGGGGGCCAAGCAGCAGGGTGGGTGAGGCAGACAGGATTCAGTGAATGGAGACCATAAATAACTTTGGAGAAAAAAGCAGGAGGAGCTAAAATGCTGGCCCTCAAGGTGAAAGTCCTCCCTTCCTGCAGTGAAGGGGGATGGAGGGACCCCAGGGCAGGGTCCCCTAGCCTGGGGACAGGCCCTCATGGCTGTCAGAGCAGCCTGAACTTACAGTTTGCTCTGTCTGGTGAGCACCCCAGGAGCCTGGGCACCAGCATTATCCCTACCAGTGCCTCCAGGCATCTGTCAGAGGAGAGGCCCAGGCCAGGAAGACAAATGGGCCTGTCTTCAGAAGGCAGCTGCAGATTCCTGGGGGATGCCCAGCTTCCCCACGTGCTGCCACCCAGCCCTCCATGGAGGGCCAGAGGGCAACGAGCCTCCCCTGCCACACAGCACCCTGTGCTCCCCCCATCCCTGGTCACAGGGACACACTGGAGAGGGTGGAGTTCCTTGGCTGCACCCCTCACCTGGGTTTTTTTAAGTGTCATGGAATCATTGAGGTGGGAAGAGAGCTCTAAGATCATCAAGTCCAACCACCAACCCAAGGCTACCATGTCCTGAAGCACCACGTGGCACCAGGGGGCAGAGAGAAAGGAGTAGAAATAGCCTAAAAGTTGGCTAGATGATGTTACATACACCCCTCAAGGATTAGCAAGATACTTTTTCCAATGAGTACAGGTTCTCTTCCAAAATAAACCTACATCTTGAAACCATTTCCCACCCCCTCCCCCAGTGCTTTCAATCACATTCTAGCTCCACTCACCCCCTGGCCCCTCAGAGTCATTTTTGGATGAGTCTAAGTCTTTCAGAGGGTTTTCTTTCAGGCCAGCAGGTGATCTGGAACAGATGGATCATCTGCAAAGCTGACATGCCAGGGGTTTTCCCTCTCCACCCCTAGGACCATGCTCCCCACTGAAGCAGCTGAGAGCAAGGCCCTGTGGAGGAGGTCTGGAGCAGGAGTGAGAACCTGTGGCACACGTGTTACCACAGCTTTCAAACTCAGCCCCACCACAAATTTGTGCCCCCTGTTATTTCAGACCACTGCAAAGCCACTGTTGCAAACAGCCTCCAGCTCACAAACATGAAGCTGGTTATTTGAACCCCTCTGGGTTTCCCTCCTACACTTTTAGCCACGTGTTTTTGGGCTGCCCTCTCTCTTTCTTCACTTGTTGACTGCCAAGTCTTCCCCCCCTGGGGGTTCTCTATTGCCTGAGGCTGTCAGGGTTGCATGGGACACAGCCTCTGCCATCCCTGGCTCCCCTCAAGGACAAGGGACCCACACAGCACAGCACAGGGGTGCTCCATGGTGGATCTGTTGCTTGTTCATCCAGTCTCTGGCTCCAGTTTTGTGAGCTCAGCTGCTGCTTGCTCCTGATCCCCCCCCCTCAGCCTTTGCTGTGACAGGACCACAGCAACAGGCAGGTCTCCCTCTTTGGCACCCACACCCTCAGTCACAATTTGGTAGCTCAGGGTGATTTGGCTCCAGGAGAGGCCTGACAGACTACTCAGTGGTGGCTTTGATTTGTCCTGAGGGCCATGGTGGGACCTTCTGGTTGTCCCAGGAGACAGAGCTACTGGTGGTGGGTTGGGCTGAGGGGAAAACAAGGGGCTCAGAGTGAGAAGGACCCGCTGGGGCTGAGGAGCTGTGCACAGCCTGCCCTCCTAAATGCAAACCATGCCCTGGGTAATCCCACACACCTCTCCCCTCCTCTCCCTTCCCTCTATCAGGCCAGCAGAGCACACAGCCCCCTTTCTGCTCTGGAATGTGTTCTCTGAAACTTAATCTCAGCCCGGGGCTCAGGCCAAATCCCCCAAGAGCTTCAGCCCTGTGACAGCCCCTCCCACCCCCCTCACAGCTCTCCCCTGGCCTCCCCTCCTCACCTCCTCCCACCCAGCCCAGCCAAAACACTTCACTCCTCATCAATGCATCAGGGACCAGCCCACAGCTCCTGGCTTCAGAGCCAGCCCTGACTCTGCACTAACATCTACACTTGTTCATTTTCTTAAGACTTAGCCCCAAAATCCCCCTTGGTGGGAGGGTGAAGCCCTTTCCACACCCAGGGGATTCCACCAAAATCTTCACACATCTCTGGGAAGATCAGAAGATCAGACTCTCCATTGCCTAAACGAGGGTGGTCCTCACAGAGCTCCCTCATCTCCAAGCAGGCCTGGCCTGCCTTAGCTCAGCTCTATCCAAATACAGCCACTTTCTCACATTTGAGCACAATATCTGGCCCAAACCAGGGGCCTGGAAGAAAAGTCCTCCACTCTAAGACATCCTGTCCCATGCACACCCATCCCCTTGGTCTGTTGCCAAGACCAGAGGGCAGCAGTGAGGAGCTTGTAAGCTCAGGGCCAGGCACAAAGTCCCAGCAACACGGTGGCTCTTTGCTGCCATGCCACTGCAGCTTCACAGAAAGAGGACAAAGCCCTGGAAAGGGGGAACGTGCCCTCCCTAGGAGCACAGCAGGGGCAATGAATACAATCTCCTGCCCCTTGAAGACAAAACCCTCATTAGGAGAGCTTGCAGATGCTCTGCTCTCCTGTATCCCCCTCCTGCCAGCTCCTGTGCCTGCCCTACCAGAGGAGGACAGCACAGCCTCTGCCTTCAACACGTCCATGCAATCATTCTGCCACCATCTCTCTCCCTCACCTTGCCTTTTGGCACACAGAGGACCATTAGCCACTCAATGCAGATGCTCAGGAGCAGCTCCTCACCACAACCAGACCAACCTTTCACTAGCATGAGAGCTGCTGCTTTTGGCTAGGCTGGACCCCCAGGCCATGCAAAGAAGTGCAGCACAAGCAGGGCAAGGGACTTCACTTTCTGTGCATCAGGAAGGCAGGAAAACTTTGCACACACTGACCCAGCCCTGCAGTAGCCCAGGCAGAGGTTTGGCCATCAGCACCAGCAGGTACTTTTTGGTAACCTCAATCAAGATGTCAGCAACTGGGCAAGTCAAGAAACCAACTGTGCACACAAACTCCACTGCTCAACTATCTCCTGCTCTTTGTGGTCTTAGAAAAACCATCAGTGCAGGACAGGTCTGCAGCCCACCATGCAGGAGCACTGCTTGGGTCATGGCTAGGCCACGACATGACATCCAATCCATGATTAAAAGTGCTACAAAATGGCCTAATGAGCCTGCCCTCGATGACAGCATGAACCAGTGAGTATGGATGAGCCTCTCAAGAGGTGTGAGTGACACCCAAGCAATGCAGCAGACAGCAGAGGACCAAAGCTACTCACTAGCTAAGGTGACCACTGCAGGGACACTGGCAATGACTCCTTCAGGCACACGAGCAATGCACTGGTATCTCCCCACGGTGTGGTTGTTGAGAGCCAGGATGACAAGCTTCCCCTGCTCCATGTGGATACCCAGCACCTCAGCCCAGCCAGCAAGCTCCTTCCCATTCAGTCTCCAGGTGAGGTTCACTCTTGGGGGGTCCACCACACACCCCAGGCTGACTGGGCCCCCAAGCTTTTGGACAATGGAAGCAGGTTGCACTGTGACCTGTAGAGATTCACCTGTGCAGAGGAGAAAAAAAATAGTGGGAAGAAGAATGTGAGACAGCAAGGGCAGAGGAAAAAAAATGCAGTGCTGGCACCTTGTGCATTTCCCACCTCTTCTGCTTGTGCTGCACCTTCCCCTTAGACCCCACCCCACCCACCCACCCTAGAGCTCAGAGGTGCAAACCAGCCCTCTTTCTTCTTGGCACCACCAGAGATGTCCACCTCTGACTGCACCTCCTTCTCCTCTGGAGGAGTGTCTGAACCTCCACCTTTGAAGGCTGCTGAGGAAGCAGGAGGAAGAGGAGCCCACTCTGTGCCTGAGGTGTGGCTGTGCTGACCAGCATCGAAGCAAGCATGGAACAAAGAGGCCAGAAGAGGAACTCACTCAGTTTGGCAAGCCAGCCAGCCACGGCGAGGAGCAGGCAAGGGATGGGGGCCATGGGTCTCCTCTTTCCACGTGTCACTGCCATCCCCTGGGCTGTGTCCTGGCCAGGGGTCCCATAAGCTGCCTCAGGGGACACGGCGGCTGGGTGGCAGCAGATTCCTGCAGAGCACAAGAGATAGGAAGAAAGAAACTCTCAGACTTCCCTCTGTTTCCCAGCCAGGCCAGGCTTCTAAACTCCCAGGATTCACTGAGCCAGCGAGGGGGGGGTGACACTAATTTGGCATAATACACCTTCACTCTCAACCAAGAGACCCAACCTGTGGGAAGACTTCAGATTAACTGTTCTGCCTGTTTGGAGTTGAGCTACCCTGACCAGACAAACCACCAGCCTCGTGTTCAAAACCATCAACAATCTCCAAAAACCATGAAGCCCCAGGCCACCCACCACAAGTCAGGTTGCTGTGAGGAGCTGTGAGATGCAGCAGCTGTTTTGGAGAGTGTCATGAATGAATGTTAAGGCAAGCAAGCCAGGACAGGGGGATTAAAGAGCTAAGAGGCTGCCCTGAGAGACACCTCAGATGTCAGCCTGAACTCAGCTTCAGCCAAGGGCTGAAGTCAGGGGGAGGCTTCTCTCCATAATGCAGCTACAGGGTTTTGAGCTCCCTCCAGCTGCAGCACTAAGGAGATGGCCTGTGAGTCTCAAAGGCATTTCAGAACTGCTCCTCTGGCATGTCTACGTGGGCAGTGGAGAAGAACAAGCCCAAACCAGCCATGGCAGCTGGCCCAGCCAGCAGTTACACTACCTTCTCTCCCTGCAGATACACAAGGAGCTCATTAGATGCCATCATCATCCTCAAGGGCACCTGGACTCTGCAGAGCAGCACCTCCCACTTCTACCATGGTCACTGCTTGAACCATCACCTGTCTGAGTGTGTCCTTTCCATAACCACCTCTGTTAACAAGAGAGAACAAGTCCCTTCAAGCACAACCTCCAAAATTCAACCTCCTAACTCCTGAAGTAAGGCCTGCCACAGACTCCCCAGGAGATGCTTGGTGGGTTGTTGAAGGCAAGGCTCATCACTGCTAGCAGTGGGTGATGCCCATGGCCAGCCACACTGAGGTCCACATCCTGACAGCAAGGATCCAGCTAGCCAGCTTGAGTTCATCTCAAGGCTACCCTTCCTGAAAGCCTCAAAAGCTGCCACCTTTCTCCTCACTTGGCTGGCCTGCTCAGCAAGGCAGCTCTTCCCAGACAGGCAGTCATGGTTCATGTGGTCATGAGGTGACAGGGTCAAGATGACAAGCCCTGAGAGGAAGAGTAAGCTATGTCAAGCTTGGCATAGCCCAATGTGTTTCCAGGCAGCCAGGAGCACAGACAGAGCTTGGCTGTTGGTATCAGGCTGGGCATGTTCTGAAGGCATCTAGAAAGATCATCCAGACTCATACTCTAGCTGCTGCTGCCCACAGCCCCATTACATCTGAAAATCCTCTGTGGGCAACCTGCAGTGCCAAGCAACAAGACAACAACTTCCCTCCCACACACATTGTCCCTCCTGGAGTTCACCCTCCCCACACGAGGAGAGAAAAGAGCCTTGATCATTTGTCTTTGAAGAGTTTCCCCCATCTACCAGTAAATATTGTTGTACTGGATCCTTCAGTCTATCTCCAGTAGACTTGGGGACCATCTGAGCTACTCAAGTTCATTTCCCCACGTCAGACAGCCACCAAAGCACCCTTTGTTATGCTACAGGCATCTTGGGCAGGCCACCACTTGACCACAGCCATGAAAGTGCTGGAGGTCTGTCCTTACCAGAACATGCACCACTGACACCACTGCTGACGTGCAAGTTGATGTCCCACTAATTACACTCATCTGGAAAAGACTTTTGAGTTAGTTTTGGCTTGAAGATACTTCATAACGTTTGCTGGAGACAGAAAGCTTTTCACCAACGTAGGAGAAACATTTTGAGGCAGGATTTAAAGTCTTGTTTCTCAGTGCTGGAAGTCTGCAGAGCAAAGCTGACTCCTTCCCCCTATCTGGATGGGTTTGGCAGTGGGATGGAAAAATGTTGGAGAGAAAAGAGTTCCTCCTTGGAGTCCGTGCTGGCGGAGGGGGTAGGCAAAGGTTCTCCCAAGCAGACCTCCCTGCAGCTCTGTGCTGAGCCTCTGGCCAGCAGGACAAAGCCAAAGGTACAGAAATGTGTAACCAGCCCTTCACCAGCCAGGACCACCCCAGCACATTGATGGAATCACTCAACAGGCTGCCTCCAAGACTGGAAAAAGATGACAGGCAATAGGTGGGGATTAAAAAAAAAAAGAGATCAAAAATTTGGCCACAGCACCAGGCAGATTGAGGAGTATTGAGCAGAGACTGAAGAGAGAAGGTGTGTTGCAACAAGTGCCTCCCCAAACCTCCAGGCAGGGTATGAGCTCTAAATAGGGACATGTGGCCATTTCTTTCACAGCTGAGTGAAGTACAAAAGTAAATGGCCAGCATAAAAATAATGAGGAAAATGAATGAAAACATCAATTCCAAAAGAACTATTAGGATCCAGGGACCAGATTTCGAAATTCTCAGCTTCCACAATTGAGGCCAGATTTTCAAAAGCATTCAAGTTCTTGACATGCTGAGCTCTCCTGAATAGGCAACCAACTTATTTCGATGCCTAAATGGGAGCTGACCTCTTTTGACAATGCTGCCCTTAAGCAGCCTGCAGTAGTGCAAAGCAAGGGACTTTATTAATCAGGCAGCTTTCGATCTGCCAACGAGTCCTTGCAGAGGGAGAGGTGGCAGAGATGGGGAGTGGAAGAGGCCTCAGGTCCTCCCTGGAGGTGGTGGGGACTGCACCAGGACAACGTCCTGCTCTGCTGCCTCCTCTCCCCCCAAGGCAGGTACACTACAAGAGACAGATATCCCTGAGCAGTGACACTGCTACAGCCACTGTCACCACCAGCCTCACCAGCTCCTGCTATCTGGGAAAAGAAAGAGTTAAAAGTAATTTAAAGAGCGTCAAGAAGGGAGGGAAAACAAAAATTATTTGTTTGTTTATTTTTAATTCTTTCCTGCCAGGTTAAAATAACAATTTCCTGCCTGTGGAGCTCTAAATCCCCTTCAGACAGCCCAGTAAATCAAAGGAGGGGCTATTAGGAGAACAAAATTAACGAGAGCTTCATCAGAGAGGGAGGGGCGGTGGGGGTGTAAAATCTGTCGGCTCAGCTTCCCACCACACACCTACTGCCCCCCAGGCCCCCCCTCAGCCCCAGCCCTGCTGGGCATGCAGGGCACCAAAAAGGGAGTGGAGCAAGGAAGAAAAACCAGAGGTGCAGATATAAAAGGGAAGAAAAGCCCTGTGTGTGGAGGAGGGGGGTGTGATAAAGCTCCAAAGGCCAACGGGATCCGAATTAAACGCAGGCACCAGGGAGAGGTGTTTGCTGATGAGAAACTGAAGGTTTTACTGAGGAAATGCTGTTCACAGCCCCAAGCCCCCTCCTGCTTAACAAGGGCAGGCCAAGAAGCCCTTGTTAGTGCCCTTGTTAGTGCCCTGCTGTCTCTAATTTACAAGGAACCCAAATAGGAACCAGCCTCCGTGTGGGCTCCGGGGCAGCATCCCAGCACCACACACCCCCCCCAGCACCGTGGCAGTGATGGCCAAAACTCACCCACACCCAGGAGGGTGGTTTGGTGTTGTGTCAGGAGGCTGGACCCCGAGCCCAAACGTGGGCAGGGAAGGGACAGCAGGAAGGGGAAGGGGCTGCTCGGATCCAGCTGCCAGCTGGGACGCCCTGGATGGCTCTGGAGAATTCACTGCAGCTGGTCCCTGCTTCCCACAGGTCAAGCAGGGACAAGGATACTCCCAGTCCTCCATTTTATACATGGAGATTTGAGCCCTTCAGAAGAAGTAATGTCTTAGAGTGCAGTGTGCCAATTTTACTTGTAATCATTAGTTTTTAATAGAAGATGGTGCTTTTTGTTGTTGTTCCATGCACTGGAAAAAAAAAAACATAGAAAAGATCCACAGTATCCCTTTGCTTTACAACCTGAGGGCATGAAGAGGAAGCCAGCCTGGCTCAAGGTTATACAGTAAAGCAGTGGTAGGGCTGGAAATCAACAGCTCTCTGACTGAGACCTCCTGTCCCATCAGGCAAGTTGTTCTTGGATCCCAAATCTTTGGCATCCTATCTGAAAAAAAGAAAAGCCACCATACAATTGTGTAATGATCTAGCTGAAAAAAAATGCTGTCCAGGTGACACATCTGAGCAGGTTATCTGCAAAATCCCCACATGATTCCCAGGCATGGACAGCAGTCTGGGCACCCATCTGTTTCTCACAAAACCATCACACAGCAGCACTCCCAGAAGGCAAAATTAACCTCTACCAACCCCTACCCCCTCTCCAAAGTATTAATTTCACACTGTTGAGTGAAATTAAGTCTGAGTGGGTTTGAGAAAGGAGAGGTTTGCAGTGGAAGAGATGCTCCCCCTCATGTAACAGCACGGACATCCAATGGGGACAGGGGTGTGGGTGCTGTAGGGAGAAGCAGGATCCCAAATGGGAAGTAGGTGATGTCAGAGAGGTGCAGCATCCAACACCACACCACCACGCTTAAAAGTCAAGGAGGCAGCACAGGGTATGT